AAATCCGTCCAGAAATTATGAAATTATTACAAGTTTTCTAAACGCTTAATTTAAAACTCGGCTGGTTATTTCGCCTACGCGATGGAGGATCATGTACCTTCCCTGTTGGATCTTCTGCTGACCTCTCATCCAGACGAATATCAGGTCTCCTTCGATACCCCTCTTGGCTCTTCGGACCATTGTCTGATCCAGAGTACGGTGCCACTCACGATCCCATCGCAGTTGCGATCTGCAGCTTGCCGCCGTGTTTGGCCCTATACGTTGGCCGATTGGGACGGGATGCGGTCTTTTTTGCATCCTACCCTTGGGAGCAGGTTTGCTTCACGCTGGATGATCCCAAAGTTGTTGCTGATTCTATCGCTGATATGGTACTTCCAGGAATGGAATTATTTATATATATATATTGAGATTGAGAGCCGTGTAGTGGCGGTCAAGAATACCACTACCCCATATCCTCCCGTGGGTGTCGTAAAAGGCGACAAAGGGAAACAGGCAGGAGATGGGCAGCAGCATCTTCCTGATAATAGCCAAAATTACAATAAAAAAAACTGCGGTTGCCAACCCGCTCGCCAAGCGTGGCAACTATGGCAAATACCCCCCTATGAATGTAACAAAGAGACGGCCCCCAGTCCCCGGCGGCCCCGCCATTCCTGGCTACGGTGGCGACCATGGTAACGGCGGGGCAGGGGGTGCTAAGAATCTCCGGTGGAGGTTCGGTTGCCACCTTAGACGACTCGACCTGGCAACGTACAACGCACGCACCCTGAGGACTGACGAGAAGATCGTGGAGCTGGAAGAAGAGATAGACAAGTTGCGCTGGCATATTATAGGATTATCCGAAGTCCGAAGAGAGAGGGAGGACACGGTAATCCTCGAATCCGGCAACTTGCTCTATCACCGGGAGGGCGACCATCTGTCCCAAGGAGGTGTCGGATTTATCGTCCACAAGTCTCTCGTTAACAACGTTGTAAAGATCGGGAGTGTGTCGACGAGGGTTGCGTACCTTATACTCAGAATCACCAAACGGTATTCGCTGAAGGTCATACAGGTTTACGCACCAACCTCGGCACACCCCGATGGGGAGGTGGAGGAAATGTATGAGGATATCTCTAGAGCCATGCATTCCTCCAAAACCCAATATACGGTGTTAATGGGAGACTTCAATGCAAAACTAGGCACAAGAGAGAACGGTGAGCTGAAAGTAGGGAAATTTGAAATAGGGCAACGGAACCCAAGGGGCCAGCAGCTGGCCGACTTCATGGAGAAAGAGGGACTCTTTATGATGAACTCTTTCTTCCAGAAGCGGCCCCACAGGAAGTGGACCTGGTCAAGCCCCGACGGTTCGACAAAAAATGAGATTGACTTCATTATGACGACCAGACGACAACTGTTCAGTGATGTCTCCGTGATCGCGAGGGTGAAAACTGGTAGCGATCACCGAATGGTTAGAGGCACACTGAACCTAAACGTTAAGTTGGAGAGATCTCGTCTAATGAAGTCAACGCTCCGTCCCCCTCGTGCTCCGTTCCAAAGTCCCGAAACCTTTCAGCTCGAGTTACAAAACCGTTTTCAGTGCCTGGAAGACTGCAATGAAGTGGACGATATGAATGACAAGCTCGTGGAAACTGTCCATGCGGTCGGAGCTAAGTTTTGCAAGACCCGCCGCAGAAGAACACAAAAACTCTCCGATCACACTCTTAATCTCATGGCTGTTAGACGGGAGATGAAGCTACATTCTTCAACAGACTTGACAGCATACAGGCATCTGAACAGACAGATCTCCAAATGCATGCGGCGGGACTTACGCAACTTCAATACAGCTCGTATTGAAGAAGCGATCGAGCGGAACCAAGGCTCCAAAGTCTTTGCCAGAGATCTGTCTGCCAGAAAGAGCCAACTGTCAAAGCTGAAGACAGAATGTGGCAGCATCGTTTCCGGGACACCTGAGATTTTGAGTGAGATTGAGAGGTTCTATGGGCAGCTGTACACATCATCGTTGGAGCCACACGCAAGTGTGAGTAACGATCCAAGAGCGAGTCTCATCCGACACTATTCCGAAGATATCCCGGACGTCAGTCTGATCGAGATTAGAATGGCTCTCCAGCACCTTAAAAACGGTAAGGCCCCAGGCGAGGATGGAATTACAGCGGAGCTTCTGAAAGCGGGTGGAAGACCGGTACTTGAAGTCCTTCAGAAGCTCTTTAATTCCGTCCTCCATGGTGGCATTACACCGGAGGCGTGGAGCAGAAGTGCGGTGGTCTTGTTCTTCAAGAAAGGTGACAACGCTCTCTTGAAGAACTACAGACCGATTTCCCTTCTGAGCCGCGTCTACGTGCTGTTTTCGAGAGTCATTACGAATTGTCTCGCGCGCAGACTTGACGACTTCCAGCCTCCCGAACAAGCCGGTTTCCGAAAGGGCTTTAGCACCATAGACCACATACATACCCTTCGGCAAATTGTACAGAAGTCCGAAGAGTACAATTTGCCACTATGTCTGGCGTATGTGGACTATGAGAAAGCCTTTGATTCCGTCGAAATTTGGGCGGTGCTGCAGTCCCTTCAGCGGTGCCAAGTTGACTGTCGGTATATCGAAGTGTTGAAGTGCTTGTACAGTAGGGCTACGATGGCTATCCGAGTACAGAACCAGAGTACGAAACCTATCCAATTGCAGAGAGGTGTAAGACAGGGTGACGTTATATCCCCGAAACTCTTCACCGCTGCATTGGAAGACGTTTTCAAGCTTCTGGACTGGAAAGGATACGGTATCAACATCAATGGCGAGTACATCACTCACCTTCGATTTGCCGACGATATAGTCCTTATGGCAGAATCGCTGGAGGACCTAAGCGCTATGCTCAATGACCTCGATAGTGTTTCCCAACGGATAGGTCTTAAGATGAACATGGACAAAACAAAGATCATGTTCAATGTCCATGTCACACCTATGCCGGTAGTTGTTGGGAGCACTAAGCTCGAAGTTGTTGACGAGTATGTTTACCTGGGACAAATAGTCCGACTAGGTAAGTCCAACTTCGACCGAGAGGTCAATCGACGGATTCAACTCGGCTGGGCAGCGTTCGGGAAGCTACGACACATCTTCTCGTCAGACATACCTCAAAACCTGAAAACGAAATTGTACAACCAGTGCGTGTTGCCAGTGATGACTTATGGAACTGAGACGTGGTCCTTCACTGCTGGCCGTATGAGGAAGCTCAAGGTCGCTCAGCGAGCTATGGAGAGGGCTATGCTCGGAGTTTCTCTACGTGATAAACTTAGGAATGAAGATACCCGCAGTAGAACCAGAGTAACCGACATAGCCCAACGGATTAGTAAACTGAAGTGGCAGTGGGCCGGCCATATAGCTCGAAGAACTGACAACCGATGGGGAAGAAAGGTTCTCGAGTGGCAGCCTCGTACCGGTAGGCGAAGTGTAGGGCGTCCCCCCACGAGATGGAGTGACGACCTGTTAAGACATGCAGGAAGTCGATGGATGCAGGTGGCTCAGGACCGTGCTTTGTGGCATTCTTTGGGGGAGGCCTATGTTCAGCAGTGGACTTGTGAAGGGCTGTAATGATGATGATGATATATATATATATAAGTGGTATGACTTCACTGATGGTAAACCAAGTCCCAACTAAGCTGATCGAATGTGAAAAGAGGTTCTTGTGTAATTTACATTATTTTTACATAAAATCGTATAAGACCTGAAACCCTTATAGTTAACGATCTTACCTTCTAGCCATACATTTTTATCAATATCTTTCTTGAACCAAACATTTTGTCCAATATCAAAAGTCTTCTTAAATCTAGCAGTGTTATTGTAATTTCTTATATTCCTATTGACTGTGTTATCCAATTGTTGGTGAACATTATTATTAATTTTTAGTTTTAAATAATTATGATTGACTACTAGTTTTGTTTTAAAATTTCTATTCATAAGTAATTCACTAGGAGAATACTGGGTGCCAGCGACAGGTGAGGCTCTATACTGAAGTAAAGATATTCTATAATCAGTCTTGTCCTCGTGACATTTTTTTAGCCTTAGAGTACCTAATACTTCTATATTTTTAGCTATCTGAACACCCCGTTCAGCCATACCGTTTGACTGTGCATATCTCGGACTAGTGTAAGTGAATTTGAATCCCCAAGATGATGCAAATTGTTTACATTCCCTGGAGTCAAATGGTACATGATTTGAAATTATTTCACCTGGTATGCCAAAATTACAAAACACATCTATCAGGATATTAATTACCGCTTTGGCACTTTTATTACTTAATAAATTTATGTCCAACCATTTAGAAAAGTAATCGTAGAGTACAAGGTAGCTCTTGCTTCTGAAGTCCATTATATCAATAACAAGTTTTCCAAATGGCCACCTAGGAATGTTATAGCGGTACCACATAGGTAATAGCGGCTCCTTAATATTATTATTATGATATGTTTGACAGGTGAAACATTTTCTAACAATTTCGTCAATATGACTATCCGTTTGAGGCCAGTAATATAACCTTCGTGCCAGCTGTTTCATTTCGGTCATGCGTAAATGCCTCTCATGTAATTGTTTAATAAATTCTAATCTCAAACTTTTTGGTATAATAAGCCTGTCATTAAAAAATACTAGTTTTTGATCTACACTGAGTTCACCCCTTAATTTGTGATAAGAATTTACAATATCGGGTTATTATTTTTATTTTCAGGCCAGCCCTTCTGAATATATTCAGCTAATATTGACAACTCTTCATGTTGTGAGCTTTCCAACATTAATTTATTTTTTTGTTCCTCAGTACATTCTAAATATTGGTCTTGACCTATACAGTGAATGACCTCATACATATAAGAATCATCTGTATCACTACAATCCTGGTATGCACGCGATAATAAATCCGCTATGTACATATGTACAATAAACTTATTTCTTTCTTTTTTTCTTTCTACATAAATTTCCCTTGTAGTTATTTAAATTCAATGTTATATTTCAGCAATTTAAATTTTAGTCTTTATAGCCTTGGTGACGGGACCTTATGTAAGTGTTTTTTTAGTAAGAATTCTAAAGGTTTGTGGTCATTAACAACAGTGACCTTATGTCCATATATGTAATAATGAAATTTTTGCGTCACATAAACAATACTTAAAAGTTCTTTTTCAATTTGCGAAAATATTCTCTCAGAAGGAGTTAAACTTCTGGATGCGAAGTACACTGGTGTACCATTTTGGAGAAGACAACAGCCTAGGCCATTTTGAGATGCATCACTTTGTATGACTGTGGGTAATTTTGCATTACAATTTTGTAATATTGGGGCTTTGCTAATTTTTTTCTTAATATTATTAAAAACACTTTCATGATGGTCAGTCCACAACCAGCTAACTTCTTTTTTTAATAAAAGTTGCAGAGGTGATGCAATATTAGCCATATTAGGTACAAATTTTCTTAGATAGTTTACCATGCCCAGAAACACTTGCAATTCTTTCTTAGTACTAGGGCTTTTCATATTATTAATGGCAGTTACTCGTTCGGGGTCTATTTTCATGCCTTTTTCTGAGAAGATATGACCAAAATATTTTACTTGTTTCAACTTATACTGAAATTTACTTTTATTAAAACGCAAATTATGTTATCTGGCCCGATCAAAACCTTTTTAATATTGCATCATGCTCTTGTTCATTTTCAGCACAAATTAGTAAGTCGTCAAAATACACAACAACACCGGGAATGTCAGCAAAGACTGTATTTTTGGAAAATTTTTGGGGTTATTGAAATCTCAATAGGTAATCTTAGGAATTTGTAGCACCCAAAGGGACTATTAAATGTGCATAGATCACTGGACTTGTCACATAGTTTAATGTTATAGAACCCGTCTGACAAATCCAGTACGGAAAAGTACTTTTTGTTACAAACTTGGGTACAATTTCATCTAAAGTGGGAATTAAGTGGTGCTCCCTTAATAAAATCTTATTAAGATCATTAGGACCCAAACAAATTCTTAAAGAACCATCTTTTTTTTTCAATGACAACTAATTTAGTTGTCATTGAAAAAAAAAGGTTAGTTAAAGAAAAAAAAAGAGTTTGTTCTTCACCGACTGCGCCATGTATTATAGTAAATAAAAGATTAGGGTTTAGATTTTCTTGAGTTTATTTATAAAGTTTCTAACAATGGTTGTTTTATATTATTTTTTATTATTGCAAGCTACAATGTCCTGTCGGTTCAATTACAAGAGAGCGAGATAGCAACTGGCCAAAAAGGAGAGGGGTGATTATTCTGACATTGACAAGCTGCGTTCTGATACTACAAAACTAGTTCGCCTCCCTTCGGGAACACGTGCATTCTGGTTTCTCGCCAAGGCTGTCCAAGGGAATTTTTGTCAGCCATCTTTGCCATCTCTGCACAAGGTGCACCACTCACTGGCCCATGACGCAAAGGAGAAAGCCTATCTGCTAGGCTCTCCTTTTGCTTCCAACTCGACTTTAGATGACTGGGAACACACCGCCGACTATTCCACGGAGTGCTCCATGCAGGAAGTGCTGTTTACCTAAAGCGCTTGGAGCGTAAAGCCCAGGATGTGAACAAGTCGAGTGGGCCTGATGGAGTCCCACCTATTGTGCTGAAGACGTGTGCACCAGTTGGCACCGGTTTTAACGCGTCTATTCCGGTACTCCTACTCCCTAGACGTAGCCCCGAACTCATGGAAGACAGCTTTGGTGCACCCGATCCCTAAAAAACCACTCAGATCCGTCCAACTACAGGCCTATCGCGATCACCTCCTTGTTATCCAAAGTAATAGAATCCATTATATACTGCCAGCTCATGGTACGGTCCCCGAGAATCACCAGCTGATTAGTGACCGCTAGTACGGTTTCCGTCCAGGTAGCTCAGCTGGTGATCTTCTAGGTTACCTAACTCATAGATGGGTTGAGGCAGTGGAGTCCAAGGGGGAGACGTTGGTCGTTAGTTTGGACATAGCGAAGGCCTTCGAAAGGGTTTGGCACAAAACGCTTCTTTCAAAGCTCCCCTCCTACGGGCTTCCCGAGAAACTGTGCACTTGTATCACCAGTTTTCTTGCAGATCGGAGCATCAATGTCGTAATAGACGGTGCATGCTCCAGCTACAAGCCCATTAACGCTGGTGTTCCACAAGGCTGCGTGCTATCACCAACGCTGTTTCTTCTACATATCAATGATATGTTGCAAACCGCTAACATTCATTGCTATGCAGACGACCGCACTGGTGATCTTTTATACACCGGCCAATATTTCTCGAGAAAACGTCGTTGAGTACCGGAACAAACTCGTGTCCGAAGTCGAGACTTTGTTTAACAAAGTCTCAGACTGGGGGCTACTAAATCTAGTCCAGTTCAATCCAAAGAAGACACAAGTTTGCGCATTTACCTCTAAAAGAACCTCTTTGTCATATCTCCTCAGTTTCAGGGCACTTCCCTTGTTGCCTCAGCCAGTATCAGAATCCTCGGTGTCGACATATCGAGTGACGTGCAGTTTCGTGGTCACTTGGAAGAGAAGGCCAAATTGGTCTCTCTCTTGGCGTGCTCAGCAGAGCGGGACAGTATTTTATGCCTGCACACCGCTTGCAACTTTACAAGGCGCAGGTTTGGCCTCACATGAAATACTGTTCTCATCTCTGGGCAAGGGCTCCCCAGTGCTCCTTCCACTTGACCGCATCCAGCGCAGAGCGGTTCGAATCGTCGACGACCGAGTTCTTTCCGACCGGCTTGACTCACTGGTACTTCGTAAATATAGATAGCCGCACATCGCGACAAAACTCACGATACCATCCATACCATCTGGATGATTGGCGGTCCACCACAGTGCGACTTAGAAGTTTTCTTCCTCGCACAACTTCCTTGCGGAATCGATTACCACCAGCGATTTTTCCGGACCGATACGACTTAGGGACCTTAAAGTAAAGAGCCTACTACTTTTTAAAAGGCCGGCAGCGCATCTGCAATTCCCCTGGTGTTGCAGTAGTTCATGGGCGGCGGCAGTCACTTACCATCAGGTGAGCCGGAGGCTCGTTTGCTACCTCTCTTATAAAAAAATTTACTTAGGTGGCGCGCGTATCGTACCGACAAATATATTTGAAGCTATATAATATGCAATTTGATCATGAATGTATAATCATTCCTAATTAAATAATATAACTATTTCATATTTGAAACGATATTTTCACATCTATCTCTTCTGCGGCAGCAATGCGCCGGGGACCAACTAGTCAAATATATAAATTAAGTATTAATTATCTCTTTATCTGTATCTTTCTATTGTTATTTAGTTAAAAGAGAGAGAGAAAAACTTACATTATCATACTCTCCGCGGTATAGTGCCGAGAACGCTGGCTGCGTTACCTCGCTGAATAGCTGTACCTACTAAAAGCCTTTGAACGAGAAAAGATCCAAGCATCTTATCACCATCGGCCACGACAAGTGGTGGATACAGTCCTTAATGCCCAAAAGGGATTTAGACTCATATACTCACTCTTCTGTCACTCAATTCAGGTGCTTTTCTTGTCACCATGGGTCTAAAAGAGGTACTCTTGAGATGGGAGGCAGTGTCTACACTCGTAGCATCGCAGCAACGTAACTCGTAGCAATCTATACTGTCGGGTCTCTTGACCTCATCTCTATATCCACAAGACTCCACAAGGCTCTAAAACCGTAGGAACATTTAAATAGTCAAAAACCCTTAGGATAACATTGTTCAAAAAACCGTGGCAGGCAACATACCTATTCTTACATGAAAGTCACAGTCACAGTCAGACATCCTTAAATTGACGTTGGTTTTCATGAATAAGGCCATTTATGCATTGACTTATATATTACTAGCGTACATTTATGTTTTATATACATAATGTCTTACGCTAATATTGCCTCCTACTGACATAAGAACTCAAAGAGTATATAATCACTACGCCTTAAAAAACCTTCATCAATCTATGTATTTATATATCCTTATGGAGAAACAACGCTGTTGTCTAAAAAATTATAAATACCATAACATACACAACCATTATTATACCTACATGTAATAAAATGATTATTCTATCATTAGAAAGTTCGGCATTACGTACCTAACTGACGTTTCCACCTTCATGGCGTCAAAGTAATTCGACTCAAGTTATTGGCAAGCAAACAAAGTTGCGGCCGACGGGGAGCGAACCCAATTATCTCTAATGAAGACAATGATATAAGCGTGGTTATTGATCTAGATTTAAATTTCAGGACGGGTCAGTCCCTGCGATGTGCGAGCCCTTAATGCTTCTTACCAAGTTTCGTGTAGCACGACCCGTGCATCTTAGCCGTTTTGAGATTTCTTATGTAAATATATTTTATTATTCGCTATTTGAATAATAATAATAATAATGCAAGTCATAATTGATAATATTTTTATATGATACTAGCGGTCCGCTCCGGCTTCGTACAAGTCATTTTTGGATCTCGACAACAGCGCCACCTAACGAGTCCATTTGTGAATCTAAACTATCCGGTGTAAACTATACCAACCACCCACACAAACGCACACAAAAAAGTCATCAAAATCAATTTCTGTCTGTTAGTCAGATTAAGTAATCTGACTAACGGATAGAAATTGATTATAAACTTACGATGTAATGAATTTTTCTGTGGGAAACATCTGGGGAATGTGACTTCATAATATATACATAGTATATATAATTCTTCTGTAGTATGTGTGTGCGGGTGTGACACAACTCCTCCTAGGCTACGGCTAGTCTGATTTTGTTGAAATTTTGTGTCTGATTAATATGATTTGTTATTCGTGTAGAATTTAGATTAACAATTGGACGTGGTAAGTGGCGCTGTTGTCGAGATCCAGAAATCACCCGTGCGAAGTCGGGGCGAATTGCTAGTAGTTATACTAAGGTAATTCAATAAAATCTTAAATTATTAAGTTGTCAGCATATCATAGTTGGTTCGTCTCAGCACGTTATAGTGCAACGATGATGCTCTCATGATTAATAAATTCAAGCTTTAAATTTATAAAAAAAATATTTCATATTTTTAGAATACAGGTATTTTTTTATAGGATAAGGGTAACAAACGAGCACACAGTCCACCTAATGGTAAGTGGTCGCTGTGGCCCATAGACATCTACATCTATCTTCGATTAAGAGTCAAAATGCAGATGCGTTGTCACCCGTGAGGACTAAGATGGAATGCCTCGTTTCCAGTAAAAAGGTTCTCCGGTTCTCTACACTCACCATACGAAACACAGCAGCGTTAAGCTGCTATTTTACGCTGGTATTCTGTGAGAGCGTGGTCCTTCCCCGGTCGAGCCGACCCATTCGTATTCGACTCAACTGATGATATATGATCACGGATACCCATAAACATATCCAAAACCTAAAATTAAAAGTGCGTTCCTGGCCTTAAAGAAAGGTAAAGGCTCTTTTCTTGAATGTCGAATCGGTGTGAAAAA